GATGTAGACCTAAGATATCCTAGAAACAGTGTAAGACGTAAGAACCTAAGATATCCTAGACAATGTAAGAACCTAAGATATCCTAGAAACAGTGTAAGATGTAAGAACCTAAGATATCCTAGAAACAGTGTAAGATGTAAGAACCTAAGATATCCTCGAAACAGTGTAAGATGTAAGAACCTAAGATATCCTAGAAACAGTGTAAGATGTAAGAACCTAAGATATCCTAGAAACAGTGTAAGATGTAAGAACCTAAGATATCCTCGAAACAGTGTAAGATGTAAGAACCTAAGATATCCTAGAAACAGTGTAAGATGTAAGAACCTAAGATATCCTAGAAACAGTGTAAGATGTAAGAACCTAAGATATCCTAGAAACTCTGTAAGATGTAAGAACCCTAAGATATCCTAGAACAGTGTAAGATGTAAGAACCTAAGATATCTTAGAAACAGTGTAAGATGTAAGAACCTAAGATATCCTAGAAACAGTGTAAGATGTAAGAACCTAAGATATCCTAGAACAGTGTAAGATGTAAGAACCTAAGATATCCTAGACAATGTAAGAACCTAAGATATCCTAGAAACTTTGTAAGATGTAAGAACCTAAGATATCCTAGAAACAGTGTAAGACGTAAGAACCTAAGATATCCTAGACAATGTAAGAACCTAAGATATCCTAGAAACTCTGTAAGATGTAAGAAGCTAAGATATCCTAGAAACAGTGTAAGATGTAAGAACCTAAGATATCCTAGACAATGTAAGAACCTAAGATATCCTAGACAATGTAAGAACCTAAGATATCCTAGAAACAGTGTAAGACGTAAGGACCTAAGATATCCTAGAAACTGTGTAAGATGTAAGAACCTAAGATATCCTAGAAACAGTGTAAGATGTAAGAACCTAAGATATCCTAGAAACAGTGTAAGACGTAAGAACCTAAGATATCTTAGAAACTCTGTAAGATGTAAGAACCTAAGATATCCTAGAAACAGTGTAAGATGTAAGAACCTAAAATATCCTAGAAACAGTGTAAGATGTAAGAACCTAAGATATCTTAGAAACTCTGTAAGATTTAAGAACCTAAGATATCCTAGAAACAGTGTAAGATGTAAGAACCTAAGATATCCTAGAAACAGTGTAAGACGTAGGAACCTAAGATATCCTAGAAACAGTGTAAGATGTAAGAACCTAAGATATCCTAGAAACAGTGTAAGACGTAGGAACCTAAGATATCTTAGAAACTCTGTAAGATGTAAGAAGCTAAGATATCCTAGAAACAGTGTAAGATGTAAGAACCTAAAATATCCTAGAAACAGTGTAAGATGTAAGAACCTAAGATATCCTCGAAACAGTGTAAGATGTAAGAACCTAAGATATCCTAGAAACAGTGTAAGATGTAAGAACCTAAGATATCCTCGAAACAGTGTAAGATGTAAGAACCTAAAATATCCTAGAAACAGTGTAAGATGTAAGAACCTAAGATATCTTAGATACTCTGTAAGATGTAAGAACCTAAGATATACTAGAAACAGTGCAAGATGTAAGAACCCTAAGATATCCTAGAAACAGTGTAAGATATAAGAACCTAAGATATCCTAGAAACAGTGTAAGATGTAAGAACCTAAGATATCCTAGAAACAGTGTAAGATGTAAGAACCTAAGATATCCTAGAAACAGTGTAAGACGTAAGAAGCTAAGATATCCTAGAAACAGTGTAAGATGTAAGAACCTAAGATATCCTAGAAACAGTGTAAGATGTAAGAACCTAAGATATCCTAGAAACTCTGTTAGAAGTTAACACCCTAGGACATCGTTGCATTGAGATCATTTCAAGAATATGCAGTCTGTATCCTGTATAAGAGGCAGTTAAGACATTACTGGATTCACTTTCTATTGTAGCAATGTTTGGTGTAAGTGATCATGACCTAATGTTCAGTCAGGAGGTACCCCATGATGAGGAAGAGGACGACACAACCTATCAATCTGGCAATACCAATACGTCTGCTGGTGAGAATGCAGATTACATACAAAGTAGGGTAAGTGAAAATCATAAAATATCATTTTATAAAACTACATTTTTTATTTACATCAGTACAGGGGCCATATTCTCAAAAAATTAGCTGAGGTAAAATCCAGATTTGCAGAAATACAGTTATCTGATTAGATAGAAATAATTGAATTTAAAATCAATTTCACTGATTGACCAATCATATGACAAAAACACTAAAATCATGCAAGTTAAGTCTGGAAGAATAGTAATAGTTTAGTAATTCAGAATAGCATGATGTAGTCTTGACACATCTAACCCTACGAGTCATTCAGATGTGATATATTTTTTGATCGCTAGGTTTAGGCTCTGTCATGATGAAAATTTACAAAAACTATCGGAACAACTCTCATGAAAATGACATTTGATGCCTGTTCTTAAAAATGCAGATATCCCATCGGTATATCACAGCCCAATAACAGATAGGGTGAGACTTGTTAGGCTGATTTTCACATGATGATTCTTTGTTGATATTTCTGATGTAAAAAGCTCAAAAACTAATAAGAATGAAGTACAGCTATTCTGATGGCTCCTCTTAGAAAACCATTTCATAAAACTGTACGGTTCAGCAGTCAAAATACATTGTCATAGATGGAAGTTCACTTGACTTTATTCACACACAAGCTCATAACTGTATTAAAATTCACGGTTTAAAAGGGCTCAACAACAAATAAGAAAAAAAAAAACAATGAAGTACAGCTATAATGGTGGCTGATCATAGCAAACCATTTCGTAACGTGTAAATTTTAATTGGCTTAGATAAAGTTCAGTAAACCAGAATAGAATTAGATGTTTTATTGATAGATGTAAATCAGGGCTCAGATAAACTAGGACTATATAAATATTCATGAGTTGATCAGTTCTAGTGGCTGGTTATAGAGCTTATTAAAAAGTTATCCTTTTATTGAATATGATACAGCTCAGCTGTCCAGAATATATTACATTGACATAGATTATAGTTTACTTAAAGGGACAGGTTTACCATTTTTCGGGTATTGATTTGGGCCTTGAAAAAAAGTAAACTAGTGTCCAAAAGAAACGATACCGACTTATTTTCAAAATTGTTTTTTACTAAGTGAATTGTCTAATATAAAAACATGCCAATTCGTATTGCACATCCAAAACACAGCATAGTCGATTAAAATACCGGGAAGACGTGATCACTTCCGGGAAAAAACGTAAATTTCATGAAAGTGACATTTCCCTCTCTAGCATGTTCTGCGCGTGCATAAAAACTGTATAAAACGGCTGATCAGACACGTTGATATCACAGCAACAAAAAGAACACAAGATATGCCACGTTTGACAGCCATCGAGAGAGAGAGAGCCGTTGGAATGGTCCAACAAGGAGCGACACACGTCGACGTCGCCAGAAGGTTGGGCTGCGCACGCATCACTATCACCAGGTTGATGCAGCGGTTACGTCAGACAGGTCAGACGTCAGACAGGCCCAGGAGTGGAAGACCACGAGTTACCACGACCCGTAACAGCGACGTCCACGGCGGCTACAGCACTGGGACACAGGATCAGTCGACAGACCGTCTACAGGAGACTACGGCAGTATGGTATCCGGCCACGTCATCCCTACCGCAGACCGCTCCTGACGCCTCGACACCGGAACAACAGACTGATCTGGGCCAGGCGAGTTCGACGTTGGCATCGGCGGGACTGGGCACGTGTTATGTTCTCTGATGAGAGCAGATTCCTCATCTTCAAAAACGATGGACGGCAGCTTGTATACCGACGATTTGGTGAACGATTGGCGTCTAACTGTATTCAACAGGTCCGGCTGTTTGGAGGTGGAGGGTTAATGGTTTGGGGTGACATATGTGGTGACGTCAAAACGAGGCTTGTCGTAATTCGTGGAAACCTGAATGCACAGCGTTATATTGATGACATCCTACGGCCTGTTGTGGTGCCCTTTATTCAGCAACAGCCTCGTGGACTCATTTTCCAACATGACAATGCAAGGCCACACACAGCAAGATTGACACAGAACTTCCTTGCCAACGCCAACGTACAGGTTTTGCCATGGCCCGCATGTTCACCGGACATGAATCCCATCGAGCACTTATGGGACCACCTCGATCGGCAAATCCGACATCGCCGTGTGCCTCCAGTCAACGTCCAGGACTTGGAACGATGTCTCCTCGAGGAATGGCAACGCATCACTCCCAACGTCATCATACGTTTGACGGCATCAGTCCGTAGGCGTGTTCTGGCATGTATTGATGCTCACGGTGGACATACCCGCTACTGACTTGACTTTGTGACGTGTGGTGTGACATTTCCCGTTGTTTCTGTGATCAGTGCTCTAACGAAATGTTCTTTTTTGACCCCACCCATCTTTAAAGGCTTGTCATATTGGTTGTACAGATTTTATTGAAATGAAATTTTTGTACAGATGTTGTGAAAGGATTTCTCAAAAGCATAACACCAATCCTAAACTTCTGCATTGTTTAGTTTTTCTTTTATGTCGTTGCAAACAGGTGGTATCGTTTCTTTTGGACACTAGTTTATTTAAATAGTCCTCAGATATACTAAAAATGTAAGGAAATCATATAATTGCTTCAATAATCCCTCATGAGTTCACTTTCTATTTCTAATCTCAAGAATAGACGAGTGGTTCTTTTAACTTTTAAACGTGGATTATTATACATGAATTTAAAATATTAAATATCAACAGTGAGCTGTAAACACTATTGCCGATTAGATAAAAAAAAATCTAAACTAGGTGAATCTGTCCTATTTAACCTTTAACATAATAGGCTGGTTGAAATAATCCATTATTGTCTCTAGGAATTAATCTATCATCAAAATACATCATCGATTAAATGTAAATCTTATATTTTCTCCTGTGTACCCGTTAACAATTTCTTGCACATCTTACCCACTTTAAACTAACCAAAGCAATAATATACTTCTATGGCACAAAAATAATCCATTGAATGAAAAATGATTTTTTTTTTTAATATTTAGAAGATTTCTCACTTTAAATATTTCGATTATTGATAGATTATTGATGCCGTTGATAATGGATCTCAATTTGGTAATCCATACCCAGCCCTAGATGATTCTATTGAGCAATTATAGTAAAGCATTTTGATTTACTACTGTATTGTTTGGTAGTTATGTGTAGGCTATCATCTCTTGGTATGATGAGCTATTAATATCCATAGTCTAAAGACTTTAACAACAATTAAACAATGATTCAGTTGATTAGTAAATAAGAAAAGCAACTTGAAGTTGAAGGATAATAATGATTATTTATAGGGGCAGTATGTAGGTTGTAAATTATATTTGAAAATATAACAAGAATATCATATTTACATCTATGTATCTACTTGATCAAACTGAATTTGTTTTAACAGGGTTAATTAAAAACAGAGAAAGCCAATTGTTAATTAAGCAGTATGACCTAGTTTTGGTATCTATCTTCATAATTGCTCGATATTATTAGTTGAAACCTTTGAAATATGTAGGAGACCTACTCAGATCGGTACAGTTGTTTTTTAACAGCTTCCATAAAGCATATAAACTTGTAAACTTAAACTTTTTAGATAGTTTTAATTTTTTAACGGCTGAATTTTTTTTGGTTAAGACTTTCAGATACGTTGAGGAACATATTTTTCTTTTTGTTTGTAGTTTCACTAATTTGAGCAGAAAATATTTTATTTTTATACCTGCATCTGCCCCTTTAACAACATGATCCATCAAATTGTATTTGTGTTTATGTTGTGTGTATTAATGTTGTTAATAAATGTATTATACAACTTTCTTGTTGTAAAGCAAATTTCTCCTCCTTTTCTTATTTTTTTGAGAAATAAAGTTTCTTTTATTATCATAAAGGTAATTTTGTGTTATCCTAGATTCAAAGAGCACAGCAGTTGATAGAAATGGAGTCCAGTCAGCCTCCAGATATGAATGACAGATTCAATGAGAAGAAAGCCACCACATTTCAATCAGGAGACCGTCCCATGCCAGTTTGGAAACCCAAACCTCCAAGTTCTTACACCCAACAAGATGATAGACCCAGAAGTAATTTGTTTTTTCTTCAAGTACTTTTACCCTCTCATTTGAAATTACTGAATGAATAAGTCTTGTTAAAGGCCATTTTGCCAAAGTTGCTCTATTATTATTTCTTTAAAGTGTGATTACAATGGGTTTTCTACTGGATAGTTTGACTGGAGATCTCTTTGGGTTCAGTGAGTTATAAAAATTGTCATAGCAACTCATAGCAAGTGATGTCACATGCTGATAATGAATGAGAGTAATATCTGTATTTTAATCAGACTGTTTGTCTTGTTTATGTTAACTTTGCTAAACTTTGATCAGTAATACATATTGTATTTTTCCAGTGTCTGACAACAGTACGATAGATTTAACAGTAATTAAATCTCCAGTACAGTCCACATCCCCATCTTCTCCTATCGAAATTGATGATGATGAACTTCAGGTAGGAATTTGGATTTGAAGAGTTAAAGAGATACATGAGAAGTGTCTTTGATGGCTAGTTAATTTCACTTTTCTCTTTAAAGGATTTAGCTTTTAAGACAGAGCTTAATTTGGCTTGTCCATAGCAGTTTTAAGACTAAATAGAGCTTAATTTCACTTTTCTGTAGCAATTCTAAGAATTAAATGGAGTTTAATTTCAATTAGATGTAGCATTTTTCAGACATATATCTCCATCTTTAAGTTTCGATCTGATTTCCAAAGAAAAGGATATGAAATGGAAAAGCTTGCTCCCTTGTTCATTTCTTATTAATGAAAAATTCACAAATTAAAAATTAAAAAGAACTTTAAAATATATTTCAGGACATTAAATCACCAGTTAATGAAACCAAATCTGTTAAAAATGAAATAAAAAATGAACAAGATGATGACAATATTCCACTGGATTTTGGATTGGATGATCTTAAAGATGAGCCTAAAGATAATGACAATGTTCCACTGGAATTCGGACTGGATGATCTTAAAGATGAGCCTGTATCTGATTATTTGGAAAGTCGTGTCAAAACCGAAGCTTCTAATCTCGTTTCAAATGAAACTCCTGATGGGAACGTTGAATCAGATGCTAATCAATCTATAAATAGTGCTAGTGACTTAGAAATTTTTGAAAATTATTCTTCTGAACAGAACTCCAAGCAATCTGTGGATGATTGCAAATCTTGTGATAAAGAATTAAAAAACTCAAATATAGATTCAGAAAAAGTTCATAATAACCCAACACAAAATGAAATAGCATCGCCATTTAAAATCCCTGAGATTCCACCAAGCTCCCCATTTATGAAAAAGACACCAAAACAAAAGCAGCGAATTATTGAAGAAGAACTGATAATCTCTCCTGACGCAAGAAGTCCACTTTTATACTTCAAAGAAGCCAATATCCCAGTTCGTTTGCGTTTATCAGGAAGCAGTAAGAAATTAGACATGTCTTTGGTTGCACAAAGTCCTGAATGTCCTTCAAGCTCAGAAATTCTGGTACAAAACTCTCCAGATTGTTCATTTGACACAGTAAAACCAGTGAAGAAAGATTCACTCAATTCGGAAATGGACACAGACAGACCAGTGTGCAATATCATGGATCTTAAGAGCCCTGAACAGGAAAAAGCTGAGGAAACAATCATTGAGGATTCAATGTTTGATTCCGAAGAGGAATTAGAAACTGAAAGTCCAATCTCAACAAAACGAACATCCAATCAACGCAAAAATGCAATCGAAAGCTCTGATGAAGAGGATATGGTTCCTACAAAAAAGACTGGAAGCAAAAAACGAATAGTGGATACAGAGGATGAGGATGAGGCTTCTGAGAACAATGAGGATAATGAAATTGAGGTTAGTCAGAATGAAGCAGAACCAAATGAAAGTGAGGCAGAACAAAATGAAAGTGAGGTTGGTCAGAATGAAGCAGAACAAAATAAAAGTGAGGCAGAACAAAATGAAAGTGAAACAGAACAAAATGAAAGTGAAACAGAACAAAATGAAAGTGAAACAGAAAAAAGTGAAAGTGAAACAGCTGAGAATGTAACAGAGACTAACAAAGGCCAAGATGCAGACACGTGTGAAGATGAGGAAGAAGATCTAGGTAGTGAAGATGAATTTGTTGAGGATGAAGATGGAATAGATAATGAAGATGTTGTTGATGTTGATGATGTCAGTGATGGAGATGGTGTGGAGTGCGATGAAGAGGATGATGATGATGATGAAGATTATGGAGGATCATTTATTGATGATGGTAATTATAATAGTGAAGAAGGCAGTGGCGAAGAAGGTAGAACTAACTATACTATTTTTTTAGTTTGCCCATGTCACCACATATTTCTCTCAACTCAGTTTTGATCAGATTTGACTAAAATGTAATGAGATTGTGTTGGATAACTGTTCATTGTTGGTTTGATACAGCCATTTTGGATTTTTGATGAATTGTGGTAGGCTTTTGACAAGGAACACAATGGAATAACAATGTGACAATGACTTTGTTTCGAAAAAGCATCCAGGACTCTGAATAACAAAGTTCTTTTTTTTCTTTTATAGATTCAGAAGAAGAAGGCTTTGATGATTTACCTGAAGATCTAAAACTGAAATTCAACGAATGTGTCAACAGTTGCAGGTGAGATATTTGGACTATAAACTGGAAACTCCTATCTCTAAGTTTAAATGAAGGAGCTGGGGGGACTCAGTGGGTTAGACGCTCGCTCGCTAACCTGAAGGTCGAGGGTTCAATCCTGACAAATGTCGAGAGAATACTTTGGATTTTCCAACCCGTTTTCTCATGGAAAAAGTCGTATGGATTGGACAATAAACTGAGGCCAGGTGAGCTACAGACTGTACACGTTCAAGAAAAGAGTAGGCTTATGACACTGTCCTGGCAAAATTTTCCTCACTGCACGTTTCATGGCGTTGCCCATTTTCATTAGCCCAAACAGGAGCAGAAGAGTAGGACTTAAAACTCCATTCATTTCATTTTATTTTTAAGTTTAAGTTTAATTAACAAGAGCCATGCTCATAAATTCTCACATACTAGATTAAGGTACTGTTAGGGTGCCTGTAAAGCAGCTTGGACTATTTCCAAACAAGTTTTGTTAATAATCAGCCATTAAATAATCTTTTTTCAGGGAAAAATACAAAGCAAAGAACTATGAAGAAGCATTAGCCTTTATTTTACAAGGATTAGAAATATACCCAGATCCAGACCTTCAACAACAAGCTTTAAAAATACATAAAAAGATCAACAAATGAGAGTGCAATAAATAAATAGCAATAATAAAACTTTTCAATATACTGAAAAAAATGTACATTAGATATAGTGCTTTCCTTTTTCTACAAACTTTTTTATTTAAGAAAAATATATAGTTTGTCTTAAACTAAACTCATACTCTTACTTTTTGTTCTTCAAAACTGAAGGACTGTCTCACACAATACAGAGTTTTGTTTGTACACATGCTGAAACATTGTCAAATTTGAGTTAACTGGTTTACAAACTTGAGTTAACTCACTTACAGACTTGAGTTAACTTGTTTACAGATTTGAGTTAACACGCTCATAGACTTGAGTTAACTCACAGACTTGAGTTAACTTGTTTACAGATTTGAGGTAACACGCTCACAGACTTGAGTTAACTTGTTGACAGACTTGAGTTAACTCGTTTACAGACTTGAGTTAACTCGTTTACAGATTTGTGATAATTCGTTTACCGGCTTTGTTGGAACATTGTAGTCTCTTGAGTAAATTGGACTTATTAAGTCAAAGTAATGATTCAAAATGGCTTTGAACTCCGTTGGTGTGTGTTATTTCCATGTGAGAAGCATATCTTGTTGTGTATGCTGTGATAATGACAAATCATGAAATGCTGTTCTATTGTCTTCTTGAAAACCGAAAATTTTTTACAGTTACTCAACTTTATTTAATTTTTTTAATTCATGCATTTCATGATCTGTCTTGTGTATCAAAATTGAAAAAAAACTATTTTTAAACAAATGATAAAAAAATCCCTTTTTTTTTTATTAGTATGAGCAGTCAGTCTACTTCACAAGTCTATTTCAACACAATTAAACTATACACACCACAAAGTTTCGACTGAATAACTCTTTTCTAGACATGTCAATTAAAGATGGGTTCCCTTATTTTCATTTATGAAAATGAAAATGCTAGTTCTTAAATGAATTGAAAGTAGAGGTCTTCTTATGACTTGGAAATATACCGTTTGTCTCACATTTCCATATTTTCATTAGCCAACATGGTGCAGAACAGTAGGACGTAAAAAAACACTCACATCTTCATAATTTATTCATAATTAGCTAAATTAGAAGAGAAGTACCAGCAGAATTCCAATGAGTGACCGATCAAGAAAGGACAAAAAGTCTTTATTTGGTTATCCAGTCTGTACATACATGGACATTTATTATTTATATGCAATAAGAACATAATGATATGATTAAGAATACATGATAATTCATTAGAAACATCAATTAATCAAATAGCTTGCGCAATTTGAACGATTTGCGTCAATGTAGTAAAATAATTTAATTATTAGGTGACATGGCAAATTAATAACAGTAATTCCAATAATAACCAAATAAATCAATCCTAGTTGCCTAAAATTTGTCGGACAGTTACATGGTCACCATGCAGGGTAAGCTTACTCTTCTAGACACCTGATAACACTTTTCACTATGAAATATTTCCTCGCCTCCAATTGCATGATTGTCAAATGAGATGTTACTTGACATCGAATGAACATAAGACTCCGCCATTTACAATGGTCCAAGAACAAACATTGCAAATTTTACCCTGAGTTTAAGCCGTGCGATTAGTCCTCACATTTTTCTTCAATATTATGTATTCTCTTGTGATTTTTAAGTTTATATAACCGATCATAACACATAGTACAAACATCACATTTATATGGTTTCTCTCCAGTATGTTTCCTCATATGAATCTTAAGACTTGACGACAGTGTAAAACACTTGCCACAAACATCACATAATATGTCTGGATTCTCTCCAGTATGTTCCATCATATGTTTTTTAAGTTGGTATTGACTATTATAGGACGTTCTACATTCATCACACATGTAAGGTTTCTCTCCTGTATGTATTCTCATATGGACATTCAGAGTGCTTCGACGAGTAAATTCCTTTTTACAAACATCACATTTGTAAGGTTTAAAACAAGAATTTGTTTTAAAGTGATTATGGAGGAAACTTGTATCTGCAAAACGTCTTTTACAAATATCGCATTTATATGGATCCTTTCTATTATGTATTTGCATGTGGCTTTTATAATTATTTTGTCGACTAAAACGCTTTCTACAAACATCACACTCATAGGGTTTCTCTCCCGTATGCACTCTTACGTGGACATTTAGTTCGCATGATGTTTTAAAACCTTTGTCACAAACATAACATTTATAAGGTTTTTCTTCAGAATGTATTTTCATGTGAGATATTCGATTCGAAGATGTCCTGAAGTATTTTTCACAAAAATCACATTTGTAAGGTTTGATTTTTGTGTGTAACCTCATATGAATAGTGTGATGATTTTTTTGCCTAAAGCTCCTGTTACAAACTTCACAAACATAAGGTTTGTAGCCTGTATGGATTCTTTTGTGAACTGCAAGATTCGATGCAGATATGAAACCTTTTTGACAAACATCACAAAAATGTGATTTTTCTCCGGTATGAATTCTTTTGTGACTTTTAAGGTGACTTGTCTGTGAAAAATATTTCTCACAAACATCGCATTGATAAGGTTTTTCTCCAGAATGTATTTTCATGTGAACTTTTAGGGAACATGATTGACTAAAGTTATATCCACAGATAGAACACATGAATGGTTTTTCCCTAGAATGTACTCTCATGTGTGCTGTTTTGCTCCATGAGGATGTAAAACATTTTTCACAAACATCACATTTATATGGCCTTTCACCTGTATGTATTCTCCTATGAATAACAAGACTGTTTTTTTGTGCAAAAGTCTTTTTACAGAAATCACATTCAAAAGGTTTCTCACCAGTGTGAACTCTCATGTGAACTTTAAGATCCGAGGTCCACTTAATATACTTTTCACACACATCACATTTATGTAATTTCCTTTTTGAAATTTCTTTTTCAATCGATGAATGTTGGTTTAAGTCCAGTGTGGGTGACTCTACTGGTAGGCCTACATGAGGAAACAGGTCCAATGTTTTTGGGTCCGGCAGAGCCATTTTATACTAGAAATCTCACTCACCAGACTGAAGTTCTCTCGCTCACTTTCTGCAGAGAGTAAGCATAGTTAAACTATACCATTGAGTAATATAAGATAGAGGAGCTAACACCTGGCACTGGCTTATGAAGTCATTGACCTATGCTCTCATCTCTTGATTGGTTGGTTGGTAGATGACAAGTTAACGCCCGCTTTCAGCCTAAGCAGATATCGCTGGCTTCGGGCTATATTGCCAATGCAATATATAAGTAATGTATTGCGGATGGGCTCTGGATGCTAAACACTTCTATCAACTATATCACCAAATATCAGTTGTACAGTTTAAATTAATATAAATTGAACCTTTGAAGATTACCCCATATCGCGATATGTATCGTATCGTGACATGATTGACGATACCCAGCACTACAAAAATCAACAAAATAAATTTAAAACAATCCTAGACTACCTGCTTACATGTGGTTATTTTCCTATTCAACACGTGCGATACTATTATATACTTCTACCATGTTTCCATGTTAAGCAGGTAAACCTCGTTGTAGGGACTGGGATTGTTAATATTCACGAGGTCACGTGGTTTTCAAACCGACCTATCAACACGCTTGCACAGAGAAATTTTTGTTTTGTTAATATAAACACACGCACGAAATAATATTACACGGGTAACCACTTTCATTGGAATTTGCCACATTCTGCTAAGTAATTTAGATAAAGCGAACCAAGAGCCATCATTCTATTGATAAGGAACAGTAGATTAAACGACAATTGGCGAGGTATCAAGCGTAAAGCTACAGATTCACCACCCGTGTGACCAATCATACCTTAGTCTCAGAACCGTGATTTTTATATTTTGAATGACGACTCGTCTTTTCTTGAGACTCCAAAATCCAATTAAAAAAATAGATATAGTATATAGGCTAAAAAGGACAAAAATGTTATAATCTATCTATTAATATTGGTAATAAAACGTGGAAATATCAAGAGAGTCATTAGAGTGCGTAGAACATTCAAAAAGAAACACACACGATATCCCATCTGGTAAAATGAACATTGAACTAAAAAATTCAATATAGAACAGGACTGTTCAGCGGCAGGAAACCAAAAAGGAAATTAAAGCTATCATGATCTAATTAGGCTAAATTTGGTTATTAAAAAAAATATTAAGTCTGGCTGTCAGTCATTAGACCGCCATATTTATTACTGACAGTCGCCATACTTGTTGAAGAAATATGGCCGCCACAAACCCAAGGGCAGATACGTAGGCTTATTTTTTTCAGTGTACTTAAAGCATGATAGCTTTAACTATGCATAACAGTGTATATATTGAGTATAAGGGAGCAATATTACTTTCACTTATTATAATTTATTATAATATATTTTGAATATAGATCGAATTTTCAAGGATGGATGAACTTCAACATTTACAATTTGCCTCTCATCTTCTCGCCACCTGAGTATAGGACTACACTCTTATTTTACCATCCGTGTTAGGTGATTTTGAGAAAGCACAGAATAAAGATTTCTATTATGGAATGTCATTTCACAACACTGCACTATCGTCTTTACAATATCTTGACATCATAAAGCGATGCATTAAATGTAGCGATTTGATTGAATTGTATGTTGGAGCATATACAACCAATCAAATCCCTCGAAACTCACGACTAGCTTTAAGAGTCTTTCTGTCTAGGGCTCTGATTGGCTGTATTTGTTAGCGTACAATTCAGTCAGATTGCTGCATTTTCAAACTGCCTTAACACAAGTAAAGTGTACAATGATAATCAGATACAAGACACAGTTTGTAATACCTTGGCATTGTGAAGGTGCTTTACTATAATCCAATATCTATGTCAACTGTTAAATGTAAGTAAATAATTATCTCTTTCCGAGAGCTACAGGATCAGATGATATTGTATAAATCTACATCATATAGCGTAACATTAAGCAATGCTGTTTGAACTACGAGGCTTCTGAAGAAAATATCCCAAGTAATATAAGCGAGGTCGATATATATATGTATCTTGTCAAGACAAATAATAAGGGTTTTTCTGCACAATTTCTATGTGGAATATCACTTTTAAGTCCAACCAATAAATGAACATCGAAGCATGAAAAGGAAATGTGATTAAATTATTCATGCGATTATAGAGATCACTGCAGAGTGTTATATTACACCCAGTAAATGCGAAAAAAGACTTACCAAGAAGCAATATCATCAAGAGCGTTCTGAAAGAAATTGCATAGATGATACAGACACAGTGGCTAAGTTACATAAGTTGCGCTCGTTTCACTGAAAATCGACAATCGTAATACTTGATAAAAAAGGTAAATTTTTGTGGCTTTTGTGGTGTGTATACAAAATATATAGCCAATGGGGATAGACCTATGTATTTTCAAATTTTTGTAAAAAGAAGACAAAAATCTTGCATTCAATGCAATTTGAAAAACTATGCTTATAATATTATAGCCTTTTTAAAAGTGTAATTTTTACCCACCCCCTTTGGAACCGTCGCCACTGGACTCTAGATATCCATGTTGGTAAAACGTGCATAGCAGAGCAGAAAGGGTTACAAACGGAATATGAAGTAAAGGTTGCAAGTTAGAAACAGATAAATCTAATAGATTCAACGAGAGACACAAAAACCACCACAAGTTAATTAATCAAAGAAACAGCAAAAGTATATTTCATCAAGAAATACAACTGAAAGGCACGAAGAAGTTGAAGTAAAGAAACCTGATACCGCCGCCAAGATAATGAAATACCGGAGCATTAAGACATTCTTTTTCACTTATTTGCCAATTATTTACTGATAATTGATTGATTTTCTTATTTTCTAAACGGATTTTGATTCCGTTATTAATTTCAGTAATTTGAATACTTTGAATTAATCAAGGATTTCCCCCCTTAGAGTGACAATAATATTGAAATTCTCAAGCTTAGCCAAATGAAACATATATTCATCAATGGACTTACCCGGTGTCATAACTACACAAAAGAATATCTCTATGATTTGATAAATCCATACAACTATAGGTAATAATTGAAAAAGGCTTAATTATTACTACCCCTTTCACATGAACGATTTTTCTTACGAATCCTTACAATTAAATCAAATTGCTTCATTCAAATCTTCTTGTATTAGTTTGTAATACCTTTACCTTGACAAACTGTTATTTTTAACCAAACATGATATTACCAACAATATGTCATTTAAATAAATAAGAACACTATTATGGATATACTACTCCTTCCTTTAATTTTTGCAACGTTTCAATTATACTTCTAAATTTCATTTAAAGATTAATAATATGTCATTTATTATACATTATTTAATTCACCGAGATACTAATAATATCAATCAAATAATTGACAATGTTTGTCTTTTAATCACTTTTTTTGTGTTTACCGTTAACCGTTCAGAATTGAAACAAAATATCATTTTGCAAAATTAACTGACTTTGAAAATATTATATCACGCTGTGTTTTGGAAATCAGCCATAAAGGTGAACCAATTTTATGATGTTGTACCTGAAGGAACTAACAAACTTAAGAATATCATATTATGTTGTCTATATAACGTGTTTTAATAATTCATCGTTACATTATATCAGACGAACATTTTCCAGTTCTTGGCACTTACAGTGACAGAAGAGAGCTATGCTATGAAATTTCTCCTGGCTGAAAATGTTTGTTTATTGAACTTTAGGGAAACTTATATCGATTATATTTCAAGTGCGCCGTGTTACTATCCACTATTTCAGAAATAGGCTACCGATACGAGGATCAATTTGTATGGAAGTAGTCGTTATTCTCGAATCGCTTCGAGTATATTACACTGAAGAATTCTTAGAACTGAGAATTGCCACGAGGAGCTTATATCTTATTTGATTTAGCGTCACAGACGGTATTTTCAGGGATTAAAGAGGATTTTGAAATGAAGATCAGAGAGCGAGTTTTGATGTCGCTTCGGTGAGCCATGAGCAAAAAAGTGAAATTAAACATTGGAGGTCATGTATTTGTGACCAGAGCCGAAACGTTGCAACGAATTCCACGCACCAGACTTTCAGATCTCAATCCTGAGGTCGAAGAATATGACTCGGAATCAGACGAATACTATTTTGACAGAGATCCTGAAGTGTTTAGACCCATTTTGAATATGTACAGAAGCAATGAGCTTCATTTGCCCAGAAATATGTGCGGTAACGTCTTAAAACTGGAAATGGATTATTGGGGGATTAAGGAAAAGAGCATTTCGGAATGTTGTTGGAAAATTATGTATAGAGTGAACCAAGACAGCCAAATTGAAGCCGACATGCGTGAAGTAGGGGAGTCGGGGAAACCAATTCCAATATCTCCCATAGAGTTACAAAATCCCTGGAACAAATTCCGTTTCGGGATATGGAAATTTCTAGCTAAACCCAATTCTTCATTTCCTGCCAAGGTATGTTTTTTAGCTCTTTATATTAATCAAAAGAGTGCAATTAATCGTCAAGTTTTATTGTCGATGAAGGTTAAAAAATTGAGGAATATCAGTGAAGGCTGTGTCTTGAAGATTGTAGATGAAGGTACCAAGTTTTATTGTCGATGAAGGTATCAATTTTTATTGTAGATGAAGATATCAAGTTTTATTGTAGATGAAGGTATCAAGTTTTATTGTCGATGAAGATATCAAGTTTTATTGTAGATGAAGGTATCAAGTTTTATTATCGATAAAGGTATCAAGTTTTATTGTCGATGAAGATATCAAGTTTTATTGTAGATGAAGGTATCAACTTTTATTGTAGATGAATTTACCAAGTTTTATTGTAGATGAAGGTATCAAGTTTTATTGTAGATGAAGGTACCAAGTTTTATTGTAGATGAAGGTACCAAGTTGTATTGTCGATGAAGGTATCAAGTTTTATTGTAGATGAAGGTATCAAGTTTTATTGTCGATGAAGGTATCAAGTTTTATTGTCGATGAAGGTATCAAGTTTTATTGTAGATGAAGGTATGAAGTTTTATTGTAGATGAAGGTACCAAGTTTTATTGTAGATGAAGGTACCAAGTTTAATTGTAGATGAAGGTATCAAGTTTTATTGTAGATGAGGGTACCAAGTTTAATTGTAGATGAAGGTATCAAGTTTTATTGTAGATGAAGGTATCAAGTTTTATTGTAGATGAAGGTATCAAGTTTTATTGTCGATGAAGGTATCAAGTTTTATTGTAGATGAAGGTATCAAGTTGTATTGTCGATGAAGATATCAAGTTTTATTGTCGATGAAGGTATCAAGTGTTATTGTAGATGAAGGTATCAAGTTTTATTGTAGATGAAGGTATCAAGTTTTATTGTAGATGAAGGTACCAAGTTTTATTGTAGATGAAGGTATCAAGTTTATTGTCGATGAAGGCATCAAGTTTTATTGTAGATGAAGGTATCAAGTTTTATTGTAGATGAAGATATCAAGTTTTATTGTAGATGAAGGTATCAAGTTTTATTGTCGATGAAAGTTTCAAGTTTTATTGTCGATGAAGGTATCAAGTTTTATTGTAGATGAAGATATCAAGTTTTATTGTCGATGAAGGTATCAAGTTTTATTGTAGATGAAGGTATCAAGTTTTATTGTAGATGAAGTTATCAAGTTTTATTGTCGATGAAAGTATCAAGTTGTATTGTCGATGAAGGTATCAAGTTTTATTGTAGATGAAGATATCAAGTTTTATTGTCGATGAAGGTATCAAGTGTTATTGTCGATGAAGGTATCAAGTTTTATTGTCGATGAAAGTATCAAGTTTTATTGTAGATGAAGGTACCAAGTTTTATTGTAGATGAAGGTATCAAGTTTTATTGTAGATGAAGGTATCAAGTTTTATTGTAGATGAAGGTATCAAGTTTTATTGTAGATGAAGGTATCAAGTTTTATTGTAGATGAAGGTATCAAGTTTTATTGTCGATGAAGGTATCAAGTTTTATTGTAGATGAAGATATGCATTTATTAGTAATCGTAATTTCTCTTTCCAACATCAGAAATGGCAAAACTAAATGCAGAATTGTATTATGATGAAGGTGCGATAAATCGATAAAATTTTATTGTTGATGTAGGTGCCAGTTGTTATCAAATCTAATAAATGTTTTAAGTTTGTAGTAAATAAGGTCGTCTATTATTGATTGTATTGTTTGTAGTTTTGTTCTGCTGAAGACTAACAACTCCATTAAAAATATTTAACCTAGCGTATAAATTGTCAGGCATGAAATGTTTGTTACTGATTTGTTTGTATATTTTCAGATATGGAATACAGTTTATTTTGGTCTGATATTACTATCAGTTAGTATTCTAGTGGTGGAATCTCACAAAGCATTTCGTATTCCGAATAACGATATCAATATGACGTCTATTAGTTTTAACATTTCTGGTAAATACAGGCTGTATTACACCACTCAATTACTACCTATACTATATTATCTCGATGTATTTTGTGTATCTATCTTCACGATTGAATTATCTCTGCATTTCTTAACATCGCCTTATAAACTTTTATTCATAAAATCCTGGTTAAATCTCCTCGATGCCTTGGTCACCATTGCAAATTGGTGCAACATTATCGTAGAACTGAAATATGGGCAAAAGGTTTTGTCGTTAATAAACACCAACCATATGACTGCTTATAGAATTTCAAAGTATATCTCCATACTGAGAATTTTACGATTTTTTAAATTAACGGAGAGATTCGATTCACTAAAAATAATGACTTTGGCTATAAAACAATCGTTCAGGGAGCTATTTATGATGTTCATGTTTATAATCGTCATTGCTACTGTATATGGATGCGCCTTGTTCATTATGGAATTTGGATCTGAAGAATTAACAGACATTCCTCTTGCTATATGGTGGGCAATTATAACTATGACAACGGTAGGATATGGGGATATCGTACCAAAATCTGATTCAGGTAGAGTGATCGGTGTATTCTGTGCAGTCAGTGGATTGATGGTGCTTTCAATGCCAGTCGCCATTATCGCCTCAAACTTTAGCGACTATCATGAAAGAGAAACAGACAGAAGAATGAAAATATCCCATGATCATGAAAAGCGGATACTTTGGGAAAACTCAGATACAAACAAATGTAAGATATTAACAGATTTTCAAAATGATCAGAAAACAAAAATGATCATGGTGGAAAGTACAAAATAAAAAGGATTTATTATTTTTTTTGGATCTCCAGATACATTGATTGGCCAACAGACCAATTCTATTACTGAAACTAAACACCATACGCCATTGGCCCGCTATTTCCCTGTTTTTATGGTTGTTAAAGCTAATGATGTTATTTTAGAAACATGATGATTTTTGAACCAGAGCAGAAAAGCATTACAGTATGTAAAAAACCTTCTTTTAATTGTGAGTCATGTAATGGTGAAGTGTTGACATATGACTTTCACTATAAAATTGTGACTTACTCAATTAACAAGACCATCAGAAGCACTGTTAGTATAATTATCAAAGTTATTCATTAAAATTGGACATTAATTTTTTTCCTTTATTGTCGTAAAAAGAGCAAAAACATTTCTGTGTGTACATTTGTATATTGAGTGATATTGTCAGAAAAATGATAAATATTTAATGAGTTTTTAGTACAGGAGCCAGTGAAGCTAGCGATTCAATTAGATCTACTTTGAATTGTTTATTGCGTTACATCCTGGAATAGTGCGATATCAGTTGACTGGAAACAGAAGTTGTCATGGTAGCCTAGGTAGCCCAATAAAGTATCAATGTTAGATCGATATCTTAAGAATACTAACTCTAAGAATGGACATACAAATTCAAAGTCTCAAACTTGGTCAACAAATATATATAGTCATCAGTTGGACTTACCAGATGTAATGGCTAAAGAATAGAATCTCTATATTACATGATATATCCATTAAACTATATGTGTTATATATTTTTAAGCATGTTTCAAAATTACTTAGTGGAATGAATTATTACTTAGGTTTATGCATTTATTGGATTATAGAGGGATTTTGTATAGAAACCAGTTAGGTCCACTCATGAACAAAAACTTATTGTAGCCAAGTTTTTAAATTTCAATTATTTGGTCTTCTTAAGAGGGAGGAAGTATACCTTTAAATGGAATGTAAAGAAGTTTTTTTAAACTTTGCATGTGTATGCACCATGTCAATTTTCAGTCGGATGTCCTTGCAAATCTACTAAAACTAGCGTTTATGACGTCACTCGTTAAAGTTGATAAAATAATATCTATGGACTTCTGCGATAGTGTTGTAATATAGCCTACACGAAGGACAGAAGTCTGGTTGAAAATTGGAATAGTGCATATCGATTTTACCTGAACAAATTACAAAAATGTACAAATTTAATCGAAAAACATATTCCAACAAATTACTGAATTGATGTTTTGATTTAATCAATGATTTTTGCTGGTCGTAAACAATATAATTGTTTTTAAATGTTTTTGTCGCATTTCATTGTTATTTTTCAATTTCTCGCTTATATTTAAATACATTGAGAGGTTTGTTTAAAAGATCATTAAACTGTGAAAAATAAAGTTTATATTGATTTGTTGTTAGCTATCAAAAGCCTTTTTATTGTATAAGTACCTTGTTTAGCAAAATACATGTATAAGCACAAATTCTCGAGGAGAATTTGTCAAAGTCTACTGCTGTCAGCAGAATGTTTTTTCTCAGATGACCGGTCTCGCTATAGAAATTGCGTAAAGCTTGTTGGATTGAACTATAAATACAGCACCACGTCAAAGAAGTATACTAAAGAATGCTCAAAATTAACACAAATGAGTTAAACATTGGATGGTTTCATTTTCATGTGGAAAATAGTTCCAATACCTCAACTTAGGAAAATTTGTGGAAAGGTGAAATTTCGAGAAATCTGTAGGCAACGTCAAAACCTATAATGTTAGGTTAATATCTGGGATCAATGAAAAACATCTTAATCAAGTCTATAATAATAGATATTATAAGACAATCAATAACAGTAACTATGATAACAATATAACTATGTATCAATTTCCTAAATTTAATCAGAAATATATATACCAATTTTGAAATGTTAAACTTATCATTTGCTGCTTGTTTTTTGTGGAAAATCGGTTGAAGTTTAATATTAAGTCGATAAATAATCTCATAAACCTCCCTCTAAACTACTTTAAAATGTAGAGCCAGATCAGAAAAGAGCCATGCTTGTGTGCGTCCATCTTCCTCTATCGTATCACGGAAGTTTGTAAATGCAGTAATTTGATTGGATTGTCGCTACAGAATAAAGCCAATCAGAGCCCTTATTTGTGGTATTTTGGTGTTTAAATTTTAGCACATCTAGTTCTGTATTGCGTACAGTTTTGCCCAGGGTTTGAACATACGACTATATAAGGATAATTGAAATCACGGGATTGCAGACAAATGTAATTCATATTTAAACAAAATAATCGAACGCATTTGAGGGTGAATGCACCCGGATTCATCATGAACTGTCCTGATGGTGGCCATTTTGAAATTGAACGTGGTACCGTATAACCAAATAGCATCCAAACTATTCCATAACCTTTTATTGTATACTGCTTGAACTTGGAGATAAGGAATCGGGTTCCTGTCAAAGTAACTACTAGAATACACGCGATATCATCAAAATACATAATACTTACACTATCGTCGTAGGCTATCGAATATATTGCAATATATACTGCGATTACTGAATTATTGTAACGTTTGAATATGTAATGTGCACACACACAAATATGTCACGTAAATACCGCGTAAAATTAGCCAACTGCATTATGATGTGAGCTTTAATGAAATTTCAAGATTTTCTAAATTTTTATGTGTATCGACAGCATAGATTTACACCATCCCATCCCATCCGTCTCATTTTATGCTTCGATGTTCATTTATTGGTCAGGTTTACGGGTAAGCTTACTATCCCACATAGAAGTAGCAACAGTTTACAGATAATCTGACACACAAATATATATCTTGAGAAATTCTTCATTGTTCTCAAAGTCAAACCAAATTATTTAAATATTTCATTTTAACAGTTATGCATGGGATAATGACCGAGTGAGAGTTTTTACCGAGTTAAAAAGCCCAAGAAAAAAAAAGAGCGCCGTAGAATATTCGAAGATAAAATCGAAGCATGAATGAGTTATTTATGAGAGGGTAGAGATCACTTCCGTGCTGTGCTGATACTAAGTAAATAAGCCTATTTATCAAGTGGTAGTAAAACGTAAAAGAGTTCTAAATGTCAAGCTGCCCTCGGTAAAACTCGGTCGTTATCCCACTTAGTTACCGTTAATAATACATGTAGGTAAATATTTTGATGGATCAGTCGTTATTATCTCCCATGTGATGAGTCTAAAAATCCAGGAATTTTCAGAAAAATTAGGGACATGGAATTATACATTTCATTTTTAGTTTGTAGAAATAGACCCGGATTTGTCCCTCACCTCTCGCCTTTCAAATTTTGTTCCACTGTACATAGTGAAAGAAAAGCGAAACGAGAGTATGAAATAAACATAAATATTTTACAAGGATAACAACTTAGGTTCACAGTTAAGGTATCTGTCTACCAGCTTGTCCGTGGTCAAACCTCTCAGCACTGATCTTTCCTGGAACTGGAATTATGAAAGAAGATGACTTATTGAAGGTCACGAATTGCTTGTGCCCTTACTTGGACCCTTCACTGCTGATTCATTGAAAATTTTTGAAATATTTACATGATCAATGATCAACCAATCCTGTTAGATTTGTCCTAATGTTCCTTTAAAGACTTACAACATTTGACTATTGACTGCTGTCATATAGATATTAGTTTATAGTTTAGTATTGTGACATAACATAGTTTGTGTATGTCTTCTTTCAAAGTAACAAGAAATCGGAAGAAATTTCTTATATCCTTAGCTTATTATTCTTTTGGATGGTATAGAAAAAATTTTGCCCATTTTATTAAAGTGAATCAAAACAGTGCTCTTTATATTAGAATGACTTTGCGTTGATAAAAATATAAACACGAGCACACATTATTACCTTGGGAATTGTTTTTACACAGGACGACTGTCAGAAATATTCTTGAACATTTTTGGTTGAAAATTCGGGGAGAGAATCAATTATCAAATAATCATCATCAAGAAGACTTGGATCGTAAGGGCAGACAACTTTAACAAAGCCTTCGGAGAAAAGTATAAGAGAAATTAAAGAGATTGTAAAGAGGTTTTCTGAATTTCTTATGTTTAGCGGACTGCATCAATTTGCACCATCCCAATTTGATGACGTCACTATTTGCGAAGGGCCTTATATTTCGTATATGAAACGAGCATATTATCCGATTTAGATTTAATGGAATTACAAGAACCACAGACATCTGTTTGAGAATTGAAATGATGCAAATTGGTACTATCAGTGTCACCGATACACATACAAAATTAAAAAAATTTCTTTATAAGCTCTTTAATTTGTACTTTTATCGTACTAAACCAGGTACTTAGTGAAGACAACAGACTATATTTCGTTTCATTGAATTAATAAAATAAAACAGGATGCCATCTAACAATTAAATCAACCATTTCAGCTTTTAATAACTAACAAAATATCAATATACAATGTTTTTCGTCACAGTTTTAGGATGCTTAAAACAAACCTTTCAATAGATTTAAATCTAAGTGATTAAATGTTTAATCGAGTATTTAAATTGAATGATAACAATAAAATGTAACAGAAAGATTCAAAATCAATTATATTCTTCACAATCAGTACAAGGCATTGATTAAATGAAAACATTGATTAAGTAATTCTTTAAAATATATTTTTCAATTAAATTTGCACGATTGTCAATATAAAAATCAACAAGAGTTTTATTTCAATAACATTAGACTTTCTACCAGTATTTGGTAGATATCGATCTAACATTGAGAAATCTTATGTTAGATAAAATGTAAAATGGATGTTTCAGATGGTTGTTGATGTAGTTAACGCCTGCTTCTAGATATCTGATATCGCAGACTATATGATTATTATTATAAAATGTAACACAATAAACCATTTAAAAGGGCCCTAACACCATAGCAAACACATTAGCGAAAACAGCATGGGTGTTTGGACACTGCGTGTTCAAAGGCAACAACTTTCTTTCTTCTACAAAATAGATATTAAAGTACGTTTGAAGTAAACTGTTACACACCATCGTTTATACAAAAGCTCGTTCCATCCGAAGCACACATTTTTTAGAATAATTAAATCTCCATTCATCAATCCCATCAATCGATTTAATACAATTTGCACTAGTTGTAAAATTGTTTTTAACCAAGTAAGGGAGAAGGGTTATTCCAAAAGATTCCGTTGGAAAGTTAAAAAGTGGTTGCCTAGCAAGATGTGTTGGCGAGATTCAAAACAGACCGAAGGCCTAACGCCAATAATTGGACTCAATATTTAACGATGGCCAGATAATCTCCTTTGTTACATTTGATTCTACCAAAGCCTCCATAATAGTTAAACACCACTACCCTGAACACCAAACATTTGGTTGTAGCTTACAAAAAGAAACGTTTATTTTAACTATTATTAACTTTAAGTGGCCTTCTTACTTTGTATTGGCCTTATCCCCCAATATTCAAATGTTTTAATACTGAAGTAATTATTATTTGTGGTAGTTCTGTGCTACACCAAATTCATAATGGCATAAATTTACCCGAGGGAAGTGTTAAAGAAATAATTTTTAAAGGCACAATTAAGAGATTGAACAATTTATCAATTCCTAATAAGCTATTGCTAGGTTACATAGCTACATCTGAGTGCGTTGAAGAGTATAGAGTGGGAGGTGAAAAAGTCAAATCAACTGGCAACTGTTTTATTACTAGCCCTATTTAACACCTGTCAATCTTTTTAAAACTATAAATTACAAAATGTTGGATTTATTTTTCTATATTGATTTTGATTGCCAAAATATATGAAATATATTTTTAATCATCCTTGAAATCACTTAAAGAGAATAAAGAGTACATTCTGATTTTGAAAACCACGTCGATGTGGGATAATATTAAAGCCAGGTTATAATTTAAGCCATTAGAAATTTCATTATTTTAAAGAATATATTCATTTAATTAATATAACCAGATATCATTATGTCGTGAACAACATCGTAAACTTTTACAACACTAAAACAGAGAAACGACAAGATAATCATTAAAAGTTATCTGGAAGCCCAAAATATGAAAAAAAAAAAAAACAAAATCAGGTCCTTTTTATTTTGCACTTTCAACCATGATCATTTTTGTTTTCTGTTCATTTCTAAAATCTTTTAATATCTTACATTTGTTTGTATCTGAGTTTTCACAATGTATCCGCTTTTCATGATCATGGGATATTTTCATTCTTCTGTCAGTGTCTCTTTCATGATAGTCGCTAAAGTTTGAGGCGATAATGGCGACTGGCATTGAAAGCACCATCAATCCACTGATTGCACAGAAAACACCGATCACTCTACCTGAATCAGATTTTGGGATGATATCCCCATACCCTACCGTTGTCATTGTAATAATTGCCCACCATATAGCAATAGGAATGTCTGTTAATTCTTCAGATTCAAATTCCATAATGAACAAGGCGCATCCATATAAAGTAGCAATGACGATTATAAACATGAACATCATAAATAGCTCCCTGAACGATTGTTTTATAGCCAAAGTCATTATCTTTAATGAATGGAATCTCTCCGTTAACTTAAAAAATCGTAAAATTCTCAGTATGGAGATATACTTTAATATTCTATAAGCAGTAATAAGGTCTCTATTTAATAACGACACAAGCTCTTTGCCATAATTCTGTTCTACGATAAGGTTGCACCAATTGGCAATGATTACCAAGGCATCGAGGAGATTTAACCAGGATTTTAAGAATAAAAGTTTATAAGGCGATGTTAAGAAATGCAGAGATAATTCAATCGTGAAGATAGATACACAAAATACATCGAGATAATATAGTATAGGTAGTAATTGAGTGGTGTAATACAGCCTGTATTTACCAGAAATGTTAAAACTAATAGACGTCATATTGATATCGTTATTCGGAATACGAAATGCTTTGTGAGATTCCACCACTAGAATACTAACTGATAGTAATATCAGACCAAAATAAACTGTATTCCATATCTGAAAATATAAAAACATCTTCTTAAAGAATCCGAGGTTTTCGAATCTTTGTATTTTGACGACTTCGGGATGTTTTCAAATTTGGTCAAGGCTAAGCAACATAAAAAAGATGAAAAATATATTTTTGCGTTTCTCTCAGTACAACAGACCATTATCACAAACTGTGACCAGTTTAGAAAGCTAATTATTTCCACGTGGAAACAAGTAGAACAATCATAACATTTAAATTTCATGCCTAACGATTTATACATTAGATAAACTCCATTAAAAATATTTTATCACCTACTTCCCAGTAAGAATAGAACCGACAACAATACAGAGGATTTTAATAAATTGGAATCTTGGACATTTAGTATTGCTAATTCTGATCTTATGATTACGTATAAATGCCGAGTTTTCTCTGATATTCCGCGATTTTGCGTTTTTATCGACAATAAAACTTGGTAACTTCATCGGCACAAAACTTGATACCTTCATCTACAATACAACTTGGTACCTTCATCTACAATACAACTTGATACCTTCATCTACAATAAAACTTGGTACCTTCATCTACTATAAAACTTGATACCTTCATCTACAATAAAACTTGATACCTTCATCTACAATAAAACTTGGTACCTTCATCTACAATACAACTTGATACCTTCATCTACAATAAAACTTGATAACTTCATCTACAATAAAACTTGATACCTTCATCTACAATAAAACTTGATACCTTCATCTACAATAAAACTTGATACCTTCATCTACAATAAAACTTGATACCTTCATCTACTATAAAACTTGATACCTTCATCTACAATAAAACTTGATACCTTCATCTACAATAAAACTTCATACCTTCATCGACAATAAAACTTGATACCTTCATATACAATAATACTTGATACCTTCATCTACAATAAAATTGATACCTTCATCTACAATAAAACTTGATACCTTCATCTACAATAAAACTTGGTAAATTCATCTACAATAAAAGTTGATACCTTCATCTACAATAAAACTTGGTACCTTCATCTACAATAAAACTTGGTACCTTCATCTACAATAAAACTTGGTACCTTCATCTACAATAAAACTTGATACCTTCATCTACAATAAAACTTGGTACCTTCATCTACAATAAAACTTCATACCTTCATCGACAATAAAACTTGATACCTTCATATACAATAATACTTGATACCTTCATCTACAATAAAATTGATACCTTCATCTACAATAAAACTTGATACCTTCATCTACAATAAAACTTGATACCTTCATCTACAATAAAACTTGGTACCTTCATCTACAATAAAGCTTGATACCTTCATCTACAATAAAACTTGATACCAACAATAAAACTTGGTACCTTCATCTACAATAAAACTTGGTAAATTCATCTACAATATAACTTGATACCTTCATCTACAATAAAACTTGATACCTTCATCTACAATAAAACTGGATACCTTCATCTACAATAAAACTTGATACCTTCATCTACAATAAAACCTGGCACCTTCATCGATATTAAAACTTGATACCTTCATTTACAATAAAACTTGATACCTTCATCTACAATAAAACTTGATACCTTCATCTACAATAAAACTTGATACCTTTATCTACAGTAAAACTTGATACCTTCATCGACAATAAAACTTCATACCTTTATCTACAATAAAACTTGATATCTTCATCTATAATAAAACTTGATACCTTCATCGACAATAAAACTTGATACCTTCATCGACAATAAAACTTGATACCTTCATCTACAATAAAACTTCATACCTTTATCTACAATAAAACTTGATATCTTCATCTATAATAAAACTTGATACCTTCATCTACAATAAAACTTGATACCTTCATTTACAATAAAACTTGATACCTTCATCTACAATAAAACTTGATACCTTCATCTACAATAAAACTTCATACCTTAATCTACAATAAAACTTGATACCCTCATCTACAATAAGACTTGATACCTTCATCTACAATAAAACTTGGTACCTTCATCTACAATAAAACTTGGTACCTTCATCTACAATAAAACTTCATACCTTCATCGACAATAAAACTTGATACCTTCATATACAATAATACTTGATACCTTCATCTACAATAAAATTGATACCTTCATCTACAATAAAACTTGATACCTTCATCTACAATAAAACTTGGTAAATTCATCTACAATAAAAGTTGATACCTTCATCTACAATAAAACTTGGTACCTTCATCTACAATAAAACTTGGTAAATTCATCCACAATAAAACTTGATACCTTCATCTACAATATAACTTGATACCTTCATCTACAATAAAACTTGGCACCTTCATCTACAATAAAACTTGATACCAACAATAAAACTTGATACCTTCATCTACAATAAGACTTGGCACCTTCATCTACAATAAAACTTGGCACCTTCATCTACAATAAAACTTGGTACCTTCATCTACAATAAAACTTGATACCTTCATCT